ACTACATAACTGGTAGGACTTTAAGTCTCCTTTCACTCAGACCACACTAATTGGTTAACAGGACCACAGCAAAATGTAAACTTGGACTTGCAAAGTAGTCCAAAAGTTCACTGCCAATGGACCATCCTTCTCCATAACTCTGAGCACCAAGACTTTAGGGAAAACATCAAGTATGTGGGAGTTAATGCATAGCCCCCTTCCAGTCACCAATAAACACATAGTTAGGAGACCTGGTGATTTAGTGGGTTACTGCAAGACCAGCAGTTTAAGCCCACCACACACTCCACCTGACAAAGATGAGGTTTTCTGTTCCATTAAGATTTACAGCCTGAGGAACCCAAAGCGACAATTCTACTCTAATGTCTAGGGTCCTTATGAATTAGAATCATCTGATTGTCATGAGTTTTATTGGTTTTAAAAGCAAACTTAGACCTAAGAAAGCTTCCATTATATTATTTTCATGGGGTTGTATGCCCTTTAATTTGGGATTATTTATGTTTTATTTTATTGAAAGGCATGGATGGGTTTTTTTTTTACTACCATGTAAAACAAGCACATCAAACCTATGGCCATCAAGTAGATTCCGACTCATACGATCCCTGCAGCATAGACCAGAACTACTGTTGTGAGTCTCAGAGGCTACAACTCTTCACAGGGGCAGGCACCCTTACCTTTCTCACACAGAGTGGCTGGTGACCTTGAAGAATCAACTTTTCAGTTACCAGTCCAATATTTACCCGACAGCACCACAGGGCATCGTGTCAGCCTGGATTTTCCCTTAACCCTTCATTTTATTTGAACAGATGTCTTTCTGAATCATCATACATACTTTTACCAAACAAAAGCTTAATCTCACATCCATCCTGCACCTCATTACGGTGAATTCTTCAATGTGTAAGTACATACAGGTCAAGTTCCCAATTTGCTATATACTTGTTATCACAAGTCACACTTATGACTGTCTTTTTGTTTTTGAGGGTTTTTTTTATATCATATCTTTAGTAACATGTACTACATTCAACATTGAAGTACAAAATCACCTGCTGTTATCATCCTTAGATGTTTACTTTCAGAGAGATATTGTTTCTTGATTTCCTATTCAAAAACTAAGTCAAATTGGGGATTTAGTTGTTGGAAAATGTGGATGCAAATTCCATTTCTTTAGCTAAAGTGAATAGGTCGATTTGCAGAGTAGTGAGGTGGTACCACAAAATATATAATGAAAAAGAGAAAAGAAACATACAGACAACTCTAACCAGGAATCTTCTGACCAGAAATGACAATCTTGTACCTAGAAATGACCCACACCTTTCCATTAGAGGAGACACTACTATCTATGACAAAACGCCAATATCATCTAACCCTTCTTCATGGCCCAGTGGCTAAAAGAGAAGGGAGAGGAAATCATTAGCTAGAAGTGGAGTAAAAATGATGAACCATACCACCAGTTAATGGTAACAGGAAAATCTTACATCACCCTTCAAGAACAATAATCAATGAGTTGATGCCTGGATATATGAACTGAAATTTAGAGTGCATCAGTGTTATGTCTTTCCACTGATCTTATGCTGAGGAAATAACCCTAGAAGCAGTGCTCTGTATAGAAGAAGAACACGGCATTAGGTTTGGAGAAAAACTCATTAAAAACCTTTCATATGCAGATGACACCGTCTTGATATCTGAAGGAGATGAGGGCTTGAAATATTTACTGATGATGGTCAAAGACTTTAAAAGAAAAAACTCTCCCAACTGGAACAATAGACAACATTATAATAAGCAGATAAAAGATTGATGGTGTCAAGGATTTAATTTTAATTGGATATACAATCAACACTTATGGCAGCAGCCAGCAAAATCAAATGACGTATTGCAGTGGCCGAATCTGCTCCACAAGACCTCTTTAAAGTGTTATAGAGCAAAGATGTCATTGTAAGAACTAAGAGTCACCTGACTCAACTCATGACATTTTGAATTACCTAAATGTTTATGAAAGTTGTCCATACTGATGTTTAGAGGAAAAGATGCTATGTTTGAATTATGGTGTTGGTGATGAATATTGAAAGGGCGTACCATCAGCTTCTGAAGAGCAAACCAACCTGTCTTGTTGGAAGCACAACCTGAATGAGCGGGAGAATTGAAGGTGGGGAGACCTCCTCTCAAGTACCTTCAACATATTACCAGGAGAGACCCGTCACTGGAGAAGGACAGCATGCTCACTAATGTTAGAAAGTCAAGGTGAAAGAGGAAGATCCTCAATAAGATGAGTTGACACACAGCATGTACCAATGAGCTCAAGCATAGCCACAGCAGTGAAGATGCACACAGAGCGAGGCCGGGATCCATCATGCATAGGGTGGATGTAAATCAGAGCTGTCCCAAAGGCACTTAACCAAAATAGCCACATCCTGCTCTAGAACCCAACATCAGACCTGTAGTCACTCGATTGATCCTGACGATAATGACCCTATGCGGCACAGTAGAGAACATCTCTGGGGTTTTCAGGCTTTAAAACGCGTGGAGAGCAGACAGAATCACTTTCCTCCTACCGAGCAGTGGAGCATTTCAATTGCTGCTTTTTTGCTTAACAACTCTTACCCACTGTTACATCATTGGTGCTCATTCCCTCTTTTTCTCTCCATAGATGTAGGGTTTGTCTGTTGTTTGGCATTCTGGCTGTGCAAATGTACTAGCTGCTGTGTACTAATTTGATTTCTGTAAAGCTTGAGAGTGTGGGAACACCTCGGAGGCAGTTCTGCTCACTTCTGCTTGATTGCTCTGCGTCAGAATCAACTCTGTGGGCAGTGGGTTGATTAGGGAGTGATACATCTACCCTACATACTGAGAGCTTGCTAAATTCACATTAGCATTTTTTTCTTTTATTGTAGAGTCTGAAGATTTACTTATACATAGTCATGTCATTCCTTAATTCTGAAAATCAAATATTTCTTTTCTCCCTGTATTGCTTTCATTATCTTATCTTGTTCAGCTATTTAGCTAGCTAGGAAAACTAATGGAATGTTAAATAAAAGTTTTATACATAGGTATCCTTGGCTCTTTTTCTTCCTCCTTGGGAAAATCAATTTATTTGATGAGATTCACAAATGACCTTTACCAAATTGAAGAAATTTCTCTTTAATGGCATACTGAGGTGTTTTTTTTAAAATCATGCCAAATTATTCTTAAAAGTACTTTTGCTCTACCAATTGAGATGTTTCACCTCTATTTTATTAATATGGTGAATTATATTGATGGAGTTTCACTTATCAAATAAGCTTTGCATTGCTGGTTTAAAATCGACTAGGTTATGATTCTTTTTATATCATCTCAAGTTTAATTTATGTTTACAGTTTTGGGGTATACTGTCTAGAGCTTTGTTGTAATTAAAAAAATATTTTCAGTATCATCTCAGTCGAAATGTATTCCATGCTTCTTAATTTCTGATAAAGTTTGTGAAAGATTGATAGTCTCTCTGTATTTTCTTTTACTTTTAATAGGAGAGTTTCAAATTATTGCATCTACTTATTTAAGAGATAGAGATAGCGAGTAAGATTGAGAGATGAAGACACTTTAAAGGATTATTCATATTTTTCCCCTCAGCTTTCAATGTGTGTCTTTAAAAAAGTTGCCCATTTTATCTAGGTATATACTATTGGCATAGTTACTACTAGTAGTCTCTAATTTTCCTTTAAATATATGTGACATCTGTAATAATGTCTCTTCTTTTGTACCATACTTTGTTTCCCATCTCACTTATTATTGATAATTATATATATATATTTTTCAGATATTCAGTTCCTACATATGCTATAATATCTGGAATATGTTCATATTACAGATAATTAATATGGTCAATTGTATTTTCAAAAGCTCGAAA